GCGCCCGCACGTGGTATTTTGTGGAAGAGCCACACTCAAGAGGCCAAAGAGCCCCACATGGCTCTCGAGCCGCAGTTTGCTGACCACTGCCCTAAGGCTTATAAAGGCTGCAGATCTTTGTGCCTTGATTGCCCCTCTGATTGCTCATTATTTCCTTGGACTTGTTACTATAGTAACTTCTGAGCTCAAAGGTTGAACCTCACGTGGGGTTCTCCCCCGTCTCCCCCCTTCATTATTGTTTTCCTTTTCCCTTTGGGATTTCTTCTTCTCCTTCTGGATGAAGGGCTTCCTTCCCTTTATTTTGTAAATATAGACCTTCTGTCCCCAGCTCCCTCATTCTACGGAAATGTACCTGTTGCAGCTTTTCAGCTCCCCTATTCTATGGAAATATACCTTCTGCTGCTCTGCAGCCCTGTGCTTCTTCCATGATCCCCTTTAATTTCTAAAATTTCCTAAACCTGTCTTTTTCACCCCCCAAAATTCCTGTTTCTGTTCTGTGAATGAATGGAGCCTGTGGATTGACAAAAGGTAGATTAGCAGGAGAAAAGCAATACAAATTTTATTATTTTTGCCAGCACTGGGGCTTCAGAGAAATAAGTGAAACCCCAAAGATGGGAGGGGTAAGGCCTGGGGGCTTAAACAAAGGGCGATAAATTATGGAGAAGTGAGGAGACAAAGGCAAGGGGTTGGGGGCTTGCAGAGGTGGTTCCCTGGGGAAGGGACTAGGAATGCATAATCAATAAAGGTGGTTTAGTAGGGATTGTTATGCAGACTCATCTCCAGCATCTCCGGCCTTCCTGGTAGGAGAGGGGAACACCTTTACAAATGGAAATTTGTGTCACTTTTCCTTTACAAATTTACATCAACTTTCCTTTATGCCTGGAGTTTAGGCTGAGAGGAGGAAGGCAGAGAGCTCTTCCCATGTCTTCTGTTTCTCAGTTGCCTTCAGCTCAACATAATCCTTATGTCAAAGCGGCATATTTTGGGGTGGCATATCCTCATCCCCCATCAAAACCAAGTAGTTGCATTACAGCCTCCTCCCCACCCCCAATCTGCTGAGACTGAAAAGTAGGGGCTTACTGGATTTGTCTAATTATAGGGCTTTTTTACTTATTTATTTTGCAAGTTGAATTCTCTCCCTCCCTCCTCTGGACTTGTGGTCATGGGTAATGTGTAAATGCGTTAGTCTATCTCTGAACTTTTGCCACTTCGGTTGTTATCAGCGACTTCCAGAAAAGGCCTCAATCGGATTTCGTTATGTTGGGCACAGCTTCCTGAGGGAAGCCCCCTTAAGGTGACTGAGGGGGACTTTGTGTCTTCCTTATTGGTGGCGAAGGGAACCAAAGTTTTGCCACCCTGATATCGATTTTAAGCTGTTTAGTAAGAAACAAGACTTAGAACGAATCTTTATTCCTCCCCCCTTTCTTGCCCAAGAGATTCAAACAGAGAAACCTGCTTCAGAAAGGCAACCTCAGGATGTCCCCCTTCGCCTAGTTTGAATTAAGTATGGTAGCTAGATAGCCCGCGTCCATTGTTTCTGATCACCTAGCAACTACCTATAAATCGCCCACTCTCACTTCTGAAATCTAATACCCATTCCGCTCCCCCCCCCCTTGTCCAGTAATGTCTCATTGTCTTAAGAATTTTCATGCTTATGTGAATTCCCCACGTGTATATATTAAAACCTTGATTTTTCCTCCTGTTAATTTGTCTTGTTAGCTGGGCTCTGATGGCTGTTTCCATTTGAGTTGCAGGTTGTGAAAGAATTCAGAGAAGAGTAACTGAGCAAAAAAAGGTTTATTCACTTTCCAAGGGAGGAAAGGGGCCCAGAGCTATAGTCCCGTGAGGGACTGGGGTTTTTAAGGGCTGCTTGAAGGTTAAGGTGGGGGCTCTGGGGCGGAGCTGGCTTCACCCGAGTCCAGGTGTAGAGTGTGCTGTGTTCCTCGGGCAGGATGTGGCCATAGCACAAGGTGTCAGGGGTCACCCTCGGTTCAGCAACCTCGGTACTTGAGTTCTGGCTAGGAAAAAATTCAGAGCCAAGACTCAAACTGTAAGAGAACAGTTAATTATAAAATCACAGAGGCAGACGTAATTCATAGAAGAAATGGGCTTGGGAAACAAGTTGTCCAGGTAAAGGAAGGGCCCTTGGAGCTTAGGAGGGAGGAAGGTAAAGGTTCCGCACCTGCAAGGAGGGGCAGGGAAAGGTGCGCGTGTGCTCCCAGGAGGGCGAGCTTGCTGGGCCCTCTGTCCTCAGGGCTTTAAGGGTGGAGATTTTAGAGGAGGTCCCAGGGGAAAATCTCAATGGACTATCAGCTTTCCTGGTATGTCCTTCCAGGGGGTCTCCACTCGTTGATGGGTCAGTGCTGTTAGACACTTTCTTGTGCTCCATTATGCCCTGCTGGGAGCTCTTGCCACTCCCGGCGATTTTCCTGTTATTCTCATTGTAGGTTTCATGACTAATGGCCTTCAGTTTGCAGTAAAGGGCCTCACCCAATTCCCAGTGGACCGCCTCCACCCGGCCCTACCTGCACCTGGTCCAGTGGTGACTCTGACTGACCTTTACAAAAGACATAAATATCCCGCTCCCCCTACTCTGCCCGCTGACACCCAGGGGGTCTCCACTCGTTGATGGGTCAGTGCTGTTAGACACTTTCTTGTCCCAACCCGCGGGACAACAATGGGGGAAGGAAGAGACACCCTAGGAGAATGAGACAAACAAGGGACACGAAAGAATGGAGGCAAGACAGTGTTCTGATCAAGCCTCAACTTTATTTTTACAGCGTGTAGAATTTATATTGTTCTAGAGGAAGGGGGTGGGTAAAGGGGTCCATGGGCAGTAACCTGTCACTAGAGATTTAGCAGGCTCCGGATGGCTGTGTGCTTATCAGCGGAGATGTGTGCTTGTCAGCGGAGATTTAGCAGCTGTGTACTTAGGGTGAGGGTAGGTTATCTTTTAACTCCAGGCTAAACCACAAGGCTTAAGTGGTTCCCGGGAGCTGGCTTGGGGCGACCAGAAACCTATTGTGTTGTAAGCTGAAGATGTATATGTAATTTCTAATGGCTCCCAACATACAAAAGACATAAATATCCCGCTCCCCCTACTCTGCCCGCTGACACTGACACACTGGTCTCAGCTGCTGTGAGACAATGTAATAAAATTTCTTAAACTCTCACAACGTCTCTTGGCCTGGCTCTTTCAGCATAGACCTAATATTTTTTGTACCCAAAACCTGGGATAGCTGAGGGAGCCTGTGGGGACCCCCACTCCCAGCTGCAGGCTTCTCCAGACCACATCAGCCACTTGAATTTCTGGTGGGGGTTAACCGCTTTCTTCTAGATGACCTATGGTGACGTGTCCTGTTGTCTCCTATCCTAGTATGAAAGTCAGATGGGGCTTTTCTCCAATCCCCTTTTTTTTCTCTAAGGGGGTTGGGGGGAGAAAAAAATTCTGATCAAGCCTCAACTTTATTTTTACAGCGTGTAGAATTTGTATCGTTCTAGAGGAAGGGGGTGGGTAAAGGGGTCCATGGGCAGTAGCCTATCACTAGAGGTTTAGCAGGCTCCGGATGGCTGTGTGCTTATCAGCGGAGATGTGTGCTTATCAGCAGAGATTTAGCAGCTGTGTACTTAGGGTGAGGGTAGGTTATCTTTTAACTCCAGGCTAAACCACAAGGCTTAAGTGGTTCCCGGGAGTTGGCTTGGGGGAGACCAGAAACCTATTGTGTTGTAAGCTGGAGATGTATATGCAATTTCCAATGGCTCCCAACACGAAACCAAGGTACATGCCCTTGACCGGAATCGAACCTGGGACCCTTCAGTCTGAAGGCTGAAGGCCGATGCTCCATCCACCGAGCCAACCCGGTCAGGCTAATTTCAGTTTTAAGCGTATGCAAAATGATTCAACTAACTGCTGGAGGAATTACACCACATGAAACATAGGCAATTGCAAATCACACAGCATTTTTTACTCACAAAAGTTCCTGATGCTGTGAGTACAGGCTTGATGGGATGCCGGTGGTGCTGTCCTCTGGGGTCCAGCAGCTGGGCTGGTCCGGCCCGGATACAGGGGGCCAGCGTTCCTCACCTGAGAGCTCTGTCACGTCTCGATTGTGAGGTACTAGTCGTTCTTCTGTCGTCTGGCAGAGAGAGGAGCGTGGAGCGGCGTTGCTTGCCAGACTGACAAAAGGATGTGTCTTTGTGGCTGTCTCGACAGGGGAGCACTGTTGGTTGGCCAGGACCCATTTTTAAAGCCTGTTTCGTACCCGCAGCAGTTCAGGTGGCTATTAATGAATTACATCAATGCATACATGTTAATCTCAAACAGGGTGAGGGGATACATGTGGTTATCTAGGGAGAGTACATCACTCACACAAATGGTTATCTTAGCAAGTCACTCTGAGCCAGTAACTGGAGTTCAAGTCCTTATCTATGGGGTACACACGCATCAGGGCAATGGGGAATGTGTCCTTAATATCACATTTCAGGTTTCAGGAAAGTTAACTCAAACATTTTAAAACCTTTTGAACATGTTTAGGTATTTTTAAAGCATTTTTAAACATTTCCATATATTACTACAACACATGACTAACCACATGCCAGAGGAGAAAAGGTCAATGGGAAGATCTGAGCTGTATGACTGGAGCAGCTCTAAGGGAGGAAAGGATGCCTCAGGGGAAAGGTCCTAATTAACAATACCTAATTCCTAACACTTGCTCTCCTAGTTCTGCTTGTTGCTAGGTATCCATTGCTAGGCGCTTTCTGCCCTGGTGACATTCTGTACCTGGCCTATTGTCTTGCTCTGCTCATGCCTGTCTGCCTACTATAGCACCATATCTATCAGGGTTCTTGGTCTCATGCAGCAGAACCAGTTAAGCAAGCAGAGAGGGAGAGGGAAGGGTGGGAGGGAGCCTATTACAAAATATAGGAGGCAGCACAAAGGAGGCCCAGAGAGATGAAATGGGTTGCCTGAATTACAGTTAGGTGTTGGAAGTAGCTTTCGGACACAAGGGTCTGTTTGTAAAGTTCATACTGATTTCGGAGGGGTGAGTCCCTGGTGGGGACTCAACCCCAGAACCAAGAGGGTTCTTGGCTTCATGCCAGAAAGAATTTAAGAATGAGCCTTGAAGTAAGGCAGCAAGATCACTGAGCAAAGAGGACAAGCAAGAAAAGCCACTTCACAAAGAGTCCTGGTCTCTCCTCACTAGTAGAGTAAGAGAGAGGGAGAGACCTTAACCTTCTCTGGAGGTAGAGCTTGTATCTGTTTGTAGCACCTATGAAAAATTACTGGAATGGGAATTGTTGGGTTTAACTTTTATTTTTAAATGTATTTTGATTTTTTTACATCGATCACCTGCCCCCCGAAAACCCCCTACTGGGGATGTGCCCACAACCAAGGTACATGCCCTTGACCGAAATCGAACCTGGGACCTTTCAGTCTGCAGGCCGATGCTCTATCCACTGAGCCAAACCAGTTAGGGCTGGGTTTAACTTTTAAAAGGTGTATTTTGTGGTCTATTTTCTTTTATAGGATGTGTTTGTGGTATGAGCAAGCTATTAATAGGAAACTTTACAAGAATTTTCTCTATTTTGTGAGTTCCTTGTGATTTGATCTCATGACTGATTAACCAAGTTTTGCATCTGGAGGCATGCAGACTTTAGCATGGCTTTACTTTGGTCTATGTGTTTAGTTCTCATGCCCCTTCCCTATATTAATACCCTATGGGAACAATATGAAACATCTCACTCTGTAGGACAGTGGGACAAGCTAGGGCCATACTCAACACTCCTGAGTGAGGCTACTCTTCCTCTGCCTGAGGACACTCTCAGTCTCAGTGAGGGAGCCACTGAAGCTGTAGAACAAGGAATCTACTATAGGGCTGGACTTGGCCCAGTGTGGCAGAGCTGGTGGAGAAGGCTGTGCAAACTCTTCCGAGTCTACTATTGAGCCAGGAGTCACTAGAGGTCAGCCAGGTGGCAGTGGTGAAGGAAGAGTGGATGTGGATAAGAGCAAGAACAAACCTGAAGTGTGTCTGTGTCACGACATCTGCCCTTGAAGCCATGGGACTCACAGGCCTGTAGGAAGAGCACAGAGCAGCATACATAAGGTGCCCTGTACTTGGACAGGCAGAGGCGGCTCTGGGCTAAGCTACAGGTCCATGAGCCAGCAGTTCAAATGGGTACAAGCTGCTGTGCTGATGCCCTTTATCCACCATCAAAACATAAAACGAGACTGGTTTCATTCTGCTTCTGAATCTCATGCAATGTCTCGTGACCCAGAATAATCTTGAACCAGCCAGGGAAGGACTTCTTGGGAAAGGTTGTTTCAGCTTGGCGACATGGACACAATACGAAGTGACCACACTTGTCTTATGAGGGTCAAAGGCAGTAGAGTGCATCCTTCATTGACCAAAGATGCCATAGGTTTGCTTTCTTGTTCACCTTGCAGCTTCCACACCTGCCCTGGGATAAGCCCATCAGATGTGTACCTGGTTTTGATTGTGGAGGCAAATGGCAGCCAGGACAGCAGTGAATTCTTCCTGTTGCACCTGTCCAGTCTCCAGGAGGCATGTAGTATGGTGAAGATAGTGGGAATCCAGGACCACAGTGCTGGGCTTGAGTGGACTGGGTCTACGAATTGGACAAGCCATATAAGCTCCCTGGGCCTGTTTCCCCATTTTAAAAATGAACAAGGGTCTTAACATATCATTATGTGGTAGAATATGAATTGCATCAACTGTTTTGAAACTTCATGCATTTGTTGCCAAGTATTTTTTTCCCGTCTATTCTCCAAGCCTGGGTCTCTCAGTTCCTTGGGGATTCCACAAGCCACCTCATAGCCTTTTCTCACTATTGAATTTAGTTCATCAGAATTTGGGTCTTGCTTAAAGGAGGCATAAGGTTTTCCCACTAAAAGTACATAGTGTTTCGCAGGGTGGGTAAGGTGCTTACTCCCTGGACCTTTACTGTCTTTAGGCTGGCTCTCTTCTGGTGTCACTAATAGGTAAGTGGAGAATCTTGCCCCTCCAAAAGGCAAGAAACATTGTCTTTTGAGCTATGTCCAAGATGCTTGCTGTCAGCTTTCCTCCTTCATCCTATTACTGTGAAAGTTCTTTTGCTTAAGACGGTGCCTATCAACATGCAGATTTGGCAGCTGAAGATGGAGTTTCACTCTGGTGATGCACACCCGAATCTTGTTTATTGTGTTGCCTTTTGGTTTCCTTAGCAAGTGAACATTAGTCTTCGTCAACCCAAGGAGATGATCCTCCCCAAAGTGAAGCCATTGTCCTGTGCTGCAGGATGCCCTCCATTGCTGTAAGTCTGAAATGGGACCTCACAGGAGGGCAGCTTGTCTCATCCAACCCAGTTCAGGTTCTGGCTCCGTCAGTTGTAATGTTTGAGAAGGGAAAAACACAAGAGACTTTAAAGTAACAGCTTTATTTATGACTGAAAATGTAAAGGCATTCACAGAATACCAAGGAAAACTATTTCCTGTTCAGTTTTTAAAATCTCAGCCCCGCTGAGACCTGAACATTCACCAGGTACCAGGAAAGAATGTATCTCTTCAATAGACTTTCACACGAACAGTTTTCTGTTTCCTCAGCATCCCACAGTTTGTCCCACTGAGCCTTGACTTATACTTACAAGTCTGTTCATTTTTTGAGTTCGCTGGGCTACATATGCTGGTCACAGCTTCACCTCAGTGCTCCCTCAGGTAGAGGTCTGCACAGGACACATCTGCTGGAGTCCCTAGTGTTATGTCGTTTCTTCAAGTAATAATGGCAACCAGGAATGAGAAAATATGGGTAGCAATAGGGAATCAGCAAATTAAAGCCTTAAATCTAAGGCAGACAATTCCATTTTTCTCAACTGAAATAATGGGTTGGATAATGCTTTTATAAAAGATACTGTTTTGTGTATACAGCACACAATGCTTAACTAAGTTTATTATATACATGTAAGTATACAGATTTGGGGAAAATCTCCAGACTATTTCCCCAAATGATTTGTGTAAGAAAAAACAGGGAGGGACACAAACTATTAGCTCTTAGAATTTCAAAAGAATGCAAAGACATTTATTTTCATAAAATCTTGGTGGAGATGCACCCCAGGGATGATCTGTCCTGAGTTAAGAGCTGATTTTCCTGTACCTATACTGACCACAAGCAGGTCACCAAAAGCTGGTTGTTAACAGAGGAAATAGTGGCTGCTTGTATCCTAGGGTTTCTGATAGCAGCAGCTCCATCGTCACCAAAAGTACTGTACCCAGCACAGCTTAATGACATGGATCCATGATAGTGTATGTTTTGAAACATATCCATGGGAAGTACTTATTGAATTAGAAATTCATGAAACTAGAGGCCATTACGACATAGGGAAGAGGACTGTCCCTACACAAAGGGTTCACAATCTTAACTGGCCCTTAAGATAGCAAATAGTGTTAGAAGAACATTGTAAATAAAACTTAAATATGAAAAAAAACAAAATGTAGTACAATATATAATTATTGAAGTCTTTTCTTTTATGTAAGAATGTCAGAAAATCCAGGGATAGCTTTTATATCACAAAATGGTCCATATCGCCCAAAAATGTCTTTTGATTGGAGTGCAAAATAATATCTGTTAGAAGCTAAAAACTGAGATAAAGTACAGGCCATTGGGAGTGGTAAAGCTTTAATTTCTCCAACTTTCTTCCAAATTAACTTAATACCAGGGTTCTCATGGCACAGGAAGAGGTGGTAGCTTTCCACAGGAGCACACTTAGGATTGATCTTGGCGATGTTCCAAGTCAGGGCAATGCCCCTGGGTCTCAGCACCCGTTTCACTTTGAGCTCAGTCTTCTGGGGAGGAAGTGTGTCTCGAACTTTGTCTACCGGATCCAGTAGTGATTGTGGTGGTGCTGGGAGAGGTGGCAGATGCTCAAAGGACTCAGGAACCTGAAACACATTTATGAAAAGTTTAGTGAGCTGAATTGGTGGGTTCTAGTTGACTGCAGTTCTACAACATATTATTTCCCATATTATTTCAATCCATTTATAAAAATCACTAGAGGCCCTGTGCATGGATTCGTGCACCAGTAGGGACCTTTGGCCTGGCCGACGGGTATTGGGCTGAAACCAGCTCTTCGACATCCCCCGAGGGGTCCCGGATTGCGAGAGGGTGGTTCATGGGTGACACACGCTGGAACCAGGCTCCCTCCTCTCTGGTTCCGGGTGCATCACCGAAGAACCACAGCTGGCAAGTCACCATAGCTCCTGCGTTGGGTATCTGCCCCCTGGTGGTCAGTGTTTGCCATAGCTACCAGTCGGCCGGTCAAACAGTTGGCTAGTTGCTTAGGCTTTTATATCTACACTAAGGTACCTTAGCAACACCCACCAGCCAATCAGGAATGAGTATGCAAATTAACCCAACAAAGATGGTGGGTTAATTTGCATAGGCAGGTGCTGAGCGGCAGGGGTCATTCCCCACTGCCCCAGCCGCTCCAGGCCTCTGGGCAGCATGGGAAGGCAGAAAGGCAGCTCCAGGCTGGAGCGAAGGCAGAAAGGTGGCTCTGGCCGGAGTGAAGGCGGTGCTGGCAGCCAGGAGAAGGAAGGCTCATTCTTGCATGAATCTTCGTGCATCAGGCCTCTAGTATTTGATAACAAAAGGATGCTTCAAGAATATGTAAGGTTGGATCCAGTCTTTTTAAGCTTAAGTTTCTTTTACAGTTAAGACTTCTACACTCTGGAATATCACACTAACCAGAATGGGTTAGGTCCCAGACATTCTGGATAATGTTCCATCTCATTTCCAAATTGTGTTCCCAAACACTGCTAACTTACACAAAAAATGTGAGTGTACGAGAACACCCATTTCCGTGCACTGTCAGCAACAATGGCTACTACTCTTAAAAATCTTTTCAAATTCGTGGAGTAAAATAATGTATTTGTTTTAATTCTTGTAGCTTCTAGAAAATTCAATGAAATTATTTTAGTTGTGTAAGTAGACTCACAATAGAACATTTTTATTTTAAATATATTTTTATTGCTCTGAGAGAGCGAGGGAAAGGGAGATAAAAACATCAATTATGAGAGGAAAATCATTGATTGGCTGCCTCCTACACATACCCCTCCCCCCCATCGATGACCAAGCCCACAATCCAGGCATGTGCCCCGACTGGGAATTGAATTATGATCTAGTTCATAGGTCGGCACTCAACAACCCAGCCACATTGACCGGGCACACCAGAACGTTTACACAAGGACATTAAGTGCAATCTAAGGTAAAATGTAACCAAAATATTTCTTCATGAATAAAATGGGCACTTCCATTTCCACTCAATTTGAAATGACTATCCCTTTCAGAGCATTTCATATCAGTACCTGGGTTTCATTTTGGGCCATTGGTGTTGTCTCTTTTGAGATTGACACAGATTTCATATATGACTCCAGCATGGATACTGAACTTTCTGTGAACAACACAAGATTTTAAAAATTAAATTCATCTGCAACATTCAATCCCTTAGCCTTTAAGCAAAGAATAGTTTACAATGTGGGTGGTAATTAAACGTGAACTAAACTTTTGATAAAAATTCAAGATCCAAAGTTACCAAATAGAGAATTTTCCTTTAATATGACCAATCACCCACTTAGGTAAATAGTTAAGTCATTATGTAACTGGGAACCAGGAAAAATTACACAGGGGAGAGAGCTCCCTTCTCAGTGGTCCCAGAGGAGGATTGTGCTTTGTTAGGTTAACAAGGATATTTGCAAACACAGAGCTATTTACAATCCTGCTTGAATATGTGATACACACAGTCCTGGGAAAAATCATGCAGGCTGGGATTGAAGGAATCTCTACTGCTGAGGTCTATGCTAGCCTAAAGGGAATTACCTAGATGGGAAATGTGGACTGTGAAAAGGAAAGAGGAAGGAGCAGGGACAAAAGGGAGAGTAGAAGAGAGACACTGAGAAGAAAGAAAGGAAAAATAGGGAAAATGTGGATGAGGAAAGAAAAAAAGGTTAAAAGTTGCAAGAACAGTTTGAAAACAACTAGGGACAGTATGAGGATGGTAAAAAAAGGGGTTTCATGTTGGAAAGTTGTAAGGCTGGGTAGAATGCTAACTTCTAAACATTTCAGAAATTTGAACATAATAAGCAGTAAAAATCATTTTAGATCCATTGTGTGTGCAATGACATACTGTTTAATACACTCAATGAATCTCCTCCAATTGAAACATATATATTTTTTATGGACAAGGACAATTAAGAATCTGCATTGTGTTTCAAATTTATCAGTCACTTTATTTACTATGTTAAAAAACCTTTTTGGAAGAGGTGATGACTTTGTGATTATAAGAGTCTGTACAAACTTTTTAATTAATAGAACTAGATTTGTGAAATCATAATCTGTAGGTTAATCACCACACAAGAGCTGACACAAATAACCTTTAAATATTCAAGTGCACAGTTTCATACAAAAAAAAAATTTGTGCACTCGCAAGGTGGGGGGGCCTCAGCCCGGGTTGCACCCTCTCACAGTCCAGGAACCCTTGGGGGGATGTCCACCTTCCGCTTCCCCCAGGGGGAGAAGGCATAAGCCTTAGTTGGACATCCTTAGCAATGCCGAGGAGGCGAGAGAGGGTCCCGCTACCGCCACTGTGCTTGTAGCCATCAGCCTGGCTTGTAGCTGAGCGGAGCTCCCCCTGTGGGAGCACACTGACCACCAGGGGGCAGCTCCTGCATTGAGTATCTGCCCCCTGGTGGTCAGTGCGCATCGTAGTGACTGGTCATTCTCCCTTTTGGTCGATTAGCATATTAGGGTTTTATTATATAGGATTGCCATATTATTATCCAACCAATAGACTATGACCTGCCCCAATCAATCAGAACTATACAAAATGTACCCTTATTTGATTTTATACTAACCAATCCAAACTGTACAATTTGGAAACCTCATTTACATGAAGCAGGCAAATATGGAAACTATGGGTGGGAAGGTTTCCGTAAAAAATGGCCTCTCCTTTGTCTTGGAAGAGTGCTTTTGGTTTCTAACAGAGGCCTTGTCTACCTGGTTTGCAAACTGTTATTTGATTAAAGTTGCTCCTTTTTTTCTCCAGTGCCTTTAGATCAGTGGTTCTCAACCTTCCTACTGCTGCAACCCTTTAATACAGTTCCTCATGTGTGGTGACCCCCGATTCCATTGTTACAAATTGAACATAAAGCATAGTGATTAATCACAAAAACAACATGTAATTATGTATGTGTTTTCCGATGGTCTTAGGTGACACCTGTGAAAGGGTCATTCGACCCCCAAAGGGGTCGCGACCCACAGGTTGAGAACCACTGCTTTAGCTAGATTTGTTTACATGCCCTCGCATCCTCTCACAATCACTATTGTTATAGTTAAGGAATTAAACATGATACCATAGGTAGAAAAGAGATTCATAGTAACCCCAAACAACCCAAATATCTTTCACTGAGTGAATGGATAAACTATCCTATATAGCCGAAACCAGTTTGGCTCAGTGAATAGAGCGTCGGCCTGCAGACTGAAAGGTCCCAGGTTCGATTCTGGTCAAGGGCATGTACCTGGGTTGCGGGCACATCCCCAGTAGGAGATGTGCAAGAGGCAGCTGATCGATGTTTCTCTCTCATCGATGTTTCTAACTATCTCTCTCCCTTCCTCTCTGTAAAAAATCAATAAAATATATTAAAAAAAAAAACTATCCTATATAATAAAGAGGTAAGATACTAATTAGACCAGACAGTGCAACGACCCTCTGGAATGACCACTGGGCAGAGGACGGGACCACAGGGCAGCCGGGGCCACGAAGGCCTACTCTTGTATGAATTTCGTGGATTGGGCCTCTAGTTATACATAAACTACTATACATCCATACCATGGACTACTACTCAGCAATAAAAAGTAAAACTAATACACCTAATAATTTAGATAACATTCACAGAGAATCATACTAAGTGAAAGAAGCCGATCTCACAAAGATACATACTGCATTATCATATTTATATAAATATGAATAAATAACCTAACTATAAAGGTAGAAACAGATTCACAGCTGTCTGGGTTTAGAGACTAGGGGCAGGAAGTAGGTATGCCTATAAAAAGGTCAGCATGAGGGGATCTTGTAGTGACAGAACAGTTGTGTGCTTGATTGTGGTAGCAGTAACATGAATGTACACATGTGATAAAAAATTGTATAGAGCTATAACACACACGTACTAAAATAAACTTCATAAACTGGTCATACACATTTTGAGTTGTTACCCTTTCCTCTTTTTTAAAAAAACAAAGCCGTTACCTGTGTTGCAGTTTGATAGACCTTCTTTAGTCAGATCAATCACAAAATCAAGACTCTTTTCCTCTACAGCCTAAAAAGTTAGGTTAAAAAAAAATAAAAAGACTTTTGCCTCAATAGCGGAAAGATGTTTTTAAAAAAAACACATAATTTTAGATTACCATACAGAAACTAGAGATTGAACATTTTATAAATATTTATGTTTTAATTTAACTCTCCTGTGAGAAACTCATGAAATACTTTATAGTTTGAGAATATGACTAGGCAGTGTCCAAATAACTTAATTTGTTAAGTATGACTGTAAAATATACTTATCATTAGCTGTTTGCTTTTTAATGCAAGCTAGACTAGAACCTGGTTATGCTAACTCCTAGAACTAACACATTCAAATAAACAACATTTAAAGACAATTATTTATTACCTACCATAACTTCAGTAACAGCATTAGATGAATTAAAATTTCCTGATGTAATTTTTCCAGTATCTGAAAGAAAATTATTAAAATATGAACATTTGGCAAGTTTATGAAACTATTAAATATGTATGTACTTTGTAATATATAAATGCTAAAACACAATAATAATGGAATGCTAATTATCTGCTTATTATACAATCATAAAAAGTAACTCAATTGACTTTAGCTATACCAAAGACCGATGAGCAAGTTAAAACAAAATATAATTTTAGTTCAAAATATTTTATCCTTCGAAAGTTTTACAACTATATTAGCAACTCTTGAAAATCTATCTGTAAATACCATTTGAGGAAATAAACTTGAAAATGTACACATTTTTTGTTCAGTATCTTTAGATCAGAATACCTGAGATGGCTGAGCATTCTTCACACAACCAATAAGAAACCCTCAAAGATTCCTTAAACTATTTTATTCACAATAGCAGCAGCACAAACCACAGGGGCAATTAAGTAGCTACATAAGTGGAGACAAAGCTTTCTGAAATTAAAATGCAAATACTCTAATATATCATAAAAATTAAAATGAAATGGAGAATTTTGAATGAGCAATGATGGGCCAACCAGAGAGCTATTTTGAGAGGAAATTTAATTGAAATTTAAGGTTAAGGTATAATAGTGTACATAAATATAATAAGTCAGAAACTCTGAAGAGCAACAACAGTATTATAAAAACACCAAAAATTTTTAAAAAATCAAATATACTAAAGAATTGCCAAACTTTACACTGGCTGGGTAGTTCAACTGGTTAGAGTGTCATCCCACTATGCCAAGGTTGTAGGTTCCATCCGTTGGTCAGGTCACATTCAAGAGTCAACCAACCACTGAATGCATAAATAAGTGGAACAACAAATTGCTGTTTCTCTCTCTCTCTCTAAAATAATTTTTTAAAAAATAGGCAAACTTTAAATCTTAAGTAAAATATAAGATAACTTAATAGATAAAACAAAAACCAAGCCATCGGCCCTGGCTGGGTAACTTAGTTGGTTACAGCATCATTCCGATATGCCAAGGTTGTAGGTTGGATCCCTGGTTAGGACACACATAGGAAGCAACAATGAATGCATAAATAAGTGGAACAACAAATAATTGTTTCTCTCTCCCTCTCCCTAAAATCAATACAATAAACATTAAAAAAAACAACACCCCACCAACATAGGCCAGAGCAAAGAAGTAAAAATAATGTATGTGTGAAAGGTAAGTAGTTAACTTACAAAGCCATTAAACAAACGGTAAGGAAACAAAAGGTCATAAACTGATAAACACAGATTAAAAAGAAAATTCAATTATATTGAGAGGTCCTTTATTTATTTAGGGAATATAAATCAAATATAAAGTAAAACATTTTTGAGAGTAGAATTTTGTTTTATTAAAAGGTAATATTCAATTCTCTAAACATTGATTTGAAGCTTTCTAAATTAATAAATTGCATTTTAATCAACTTAAGATACCTGTTAGATTTGATGTAATTGGTGTTGTCAAATTAGGATTCTCCACAGAAATCAACAGAACATCATCGTTACTAAAATGATAAAAAAAAATGAACTAAATATGCATTGTTAAGCTTAAACATACAATCAACGGTTAGAATTCTTCTAATTTAACATTTCACACCTGACATATTTTAATCTAATAAATGTGTGTGGGGGGGGGGAGGGAAGGGAAGTGATAAAATCAAATACCCTAGAAACTCCATGTATTACCAATTAATTATATGGCCAATAATAATAGACACTTTAACCTCAGTAGAGATCTATTTACAATGAATCTAAAAACATTATCTATAAGTACACAATATACATAAAGGTGCAAAATATAAGTCGTCACCCTAGCAAATATACTTATATACTTATATTCATGAAAATAAAACAGGTAAGTGAAAGAAACCCATTAAGATACCTTAACTCTTACAAGATTACTAGAGGCACGGTGCACGAAATTCGTGCATGGGAGGGGGGGGGCCCTCAGTCTGGCCTGCATCCTCTCCAATTTGGGATCCCTCTCGCAATCCAGATCCACTGGCTCCTAAGTGCTCACCTGCCTGCCTGCCTGATGCCCCCAACTGCTCCTCTTCATGGCCCGGTCCCCCTAACTGCCTAACTGCTCTCCCCTGCCGGCCTGATCCCCCTAACTGTCCTTCCCTCCTTGTCTGATCTCCCTGCCTATCTGCTCTCCCCTCCTGATCTGATCCCCCTAACTGCCCATCGGCTCTCCCTTCCTCTCTGCACCTCTAGAACCCGGCGCAAGAGTGCTGAAAGCTCTCTGCCGAGGCCCCAACCCCATCCTGACACCCCCCTCCAGGCCGAGCTGTGTGGCGGGCCTGTTCGCGCCTTCACCACGATGGGGGGCGGGGGGATTGCCTCGGCCTGTCCTGATGCCTCCCTCTGGGCTGGGCGGGTACAGGAAGCCTGCACGTGCCTCTGTTGGGAGTGGCCTCTGCCTCCAAAGCAGCGTGATGTCAGTGCTGGGAAGGCCTGCACGTGCCAGCACTGGGAGTGAAGTCCCCACCCATCAGCTCCTGTGCAACCTGTTAACCTGCGCGTGCAACCTGTTAACCGGTTGTGACTGGGACACTGTTAGGACCAATTAGAATATTACCTCTTTATTATATAGATAATTATGGTTATGAAATAGCTAGAGTCAGAAGATTGTATTCTGCTCTCATTTGACCCGGATACCACTTTTATGAGTTAACATTTAAATCAGAAATTTTGTTAAGAAAATCTTGAGTATTGGGGAGATAAAAATGGAGGTGGAGTAAGTGGATGCTGCTGGGACATGCTCCCAGGACCAAACTGGAATTACAACTAAAATACAGAAAAAAATCCTTGAATAATCAACTGAAGATTCACTGGAGAGAACCCTGATACCCAAGGACTGAAAGTGGAGACCACATAGAGACTGGTAGAAGACCTGGAGGCTCAAAAGGGCTGGCTGGGCTTCCACAGAGAGCAACTGAATTTCCGGAGAGATACCTCAACTGTGGGGGGTTGTCACTAAGAACTTTGGGGTCTAATCCCCAAGTAGAGAGCACCAGAACTGAGAAGGGTACCCGCATAATAGCTGCAATGAAAAGCAGCAGGGTTGTTGTCTGCCAGGGAGAGATGGCTGGAAATGTAGGCACCTCAAAGAGCCAACACATGAAAATCCCTGTAAGCCACTCACCTTGTGCTCCGCCAGAGGGAGGGCAGAGTGGACTAGAGCTGTGTGAGCAGAAGCCAGGGTTTGGAGCTCTGGGGTTAGAGCAGAGAAGGCAGACACCTTTGGTTTCCTGTGCTGAGTCATTCCCTCATGCTCCAGAGGGCATCTTTCCAAAGCAGAAAATTGCTATACAGGCAATTTTGCCTGTGGGGGAAGACAGTTGACCCACCCTATTGGAAAACACCTTGTCCAACAGTGTGGAGTTTCTGAAACCCATTAAGACATTGAGAATAACAATAAGCCCCTAGTTGAAAGCCATTGCCACACCCTGTTGGAAATACTCTCATGACACCTGTGGACGATTGCCTGAGGGGTATTCAAGACTACAGGCAGAGGCAGTCTGCAAGCAGAGGTAGTCTCTGGAGGCTTTGAGTCTTTGGGTGACCTAATTAGTCAGAAACAGCGTTTGACACTGTACTGCACTAGAGATTGAGTGGTGTCTCAGATTTACCTAATATATAGTCCCAAACCCAAAAAGGCAGCCAAAATAAGGAAATAATGAAACAACCCCCAAATGAAAGAACAAGAGAATTCTCAAGAACAGATAAAGGAAATGGAGATAAGAAATTTATCTGATACAAAGTTCTGAACAATGTTGGTAAAGATGTTCAACAGCATGAGAAAAGATATACTAACTATGAAAACAGAAATAAAGAATGTCAGTACAAATAGAGAAGACATTAGACGAACCCCAAAAGGCCCATGCCCAGACACATTATAATTATAATACCAAAAATTAAAGACAAAGTGAAAATCTTAAAGGCAGGAAGAGAAAAGCAAATTGTTACCTGCAAAGGGGCTCTTATAAGGCTTCTATCTGATTTCTTATGAGAAACACTACAGGCCAGAACGGAATGGCATGAAGTACTCAAGGTAATGGAAAGCAAGGATCTGAAGCCAAGATTACTATATCCAGCAAAGCTATTATTAAAAATAGATGGTCAAATAAAGAGCTTTCCAGACAAAAAAAAAAAAAAGGCTAAAGGAGTACATTAACACCAAACCAGCATTATAAGAAATGCTAAAGGGACTGCTATAATGAGAAGACAGAGAGAGAAATCTAGCCATACAGAATTAAAGTTGAAATAAATAAATACCTATTAATAATAAACTTAAATGTAAATTGATTTAATGCCACAATCAAAATACGTAGGGTAGCTAAATGGATATAAAAACATGACCCAACTCTATGCTGTCTAGTTAATAAACTATTTAACCCACAACTTAAAGAACTAGAAAGAGAAAAACACAGAAGGAAGGAAATAAAAAAATACCAAAAAAAAATTCATGAAACCAAGAGCTGGTCCTTTGATAGTATAAACAAGATTGATTAGCTGTTAGCCAGACTCATCAAGAAACAAAGAGGACCCAAACAAATAAAATCAGAAACTAAAGCAGATAAGTAATCACAGATATCAGAGAAACACAAAGGATTGTAAGAAAATACTAGGAACAATTATATGCCAACAAACTAGAAAACCTGAAGGAAACAGACAAATTCTTAGAAAAATATAATCTCACAAAACTGAATCAGGAGGAATGAGAAAAACTGCATAGGCCAGTAACAATCGATGAAATAGAAGTAGTAATCAAACATTCCCAGCAAACAAAAGCTCAGGTCTGGATAACTTCACAGGGGAGTTTTACCAAACATTCAAAGAAGAACTCACACCTGTACTTCTCAAACTATTCCATAAAATCCAAGAGGAAGGAACACTCCCAAGCTCTTTTTATAAAGCCAGCATCATCCTAATTCCAAAACCAGATAGACACTACAAAGAAAGAGAATTACAAGCCAATAGCCCTGATGAACATAGATACTAAAATTCTCAACAAAATAATAGCAAACCAGATCCAGCAAAACATTAAAAAGATCATACATCATACCAAGTGGTATTCCAGGGATGTAAAGTTGGTACAATATTCACAAATCAATAAATGTGATACATCACATAAACAAATTGAAAGACAAACATCACACGATTATATCAATAGACGCAGAAAAGTCATTCAACAAAACCCAACACACATTATTGATAAAAACTCTCAGTAACGTGTAAAGAGTATACCTCAAAGCCATTATAACCCAAAACAGCCTGGTACTGGCACAAAAACAGGCATATAGATCAATGGAACAGAACAGAGACCCCAGAAATTGACTCAAGCAATTACGCTCAATTGATATTTGACAAAGAAGGCAAGAGCATACAATCGAGTCAAGATAGTCTTTTCAATAAATGGTGTTGGGAAAATTGGACAGATACATTCAAAAAAATGAAACTAGATCACCAACTTACACCATACACAAGAATAAACTCAACAGGATAAAAGAGTTAAATATAAGTTGTGAAACCATAAAAACCCTAGAAGAAACTATAGGAAGCAAAATCTAAGACATCTCTTGCAGCAATATGTTGACAGATACATCTCCTAAGGCAAAGAAAACTAAGGAGAAAATAAACAAATGGGACTACATCAAAATAAAAAGCTTCTGCACAGGAAAAGAAAAAATCAACAAAACAAAACGAGACTCATTGTATGGGAGAACATATGCGGCAATGATAAATCTGATAACTCTGATAAAGGGTTAATATCCAAAATATATAAGGAACTTAAACAACTGAACATAAGGAAGACAAACAATCCAAAAAGAAAAAATGGGCAAACGACCTAAATAAAGACTTCTTTTTATTTTATTTTTTGTAATTCTCTATTCTTGAAAGTATTATGTATGCCCTCTTTCCCCCCAATTGGCCACCTCAAGGCTTTCAGCATCCTATTGTCTGTGTCCATGGGTTATGCATATTTCATAAAAGGTTTTGATTAATTACCTCCAACCAGCCCAAACTCCCCCACCTTCCTTCTGAGATTTTGCACTCTGTTCCATGCTTCCATGTCTCTGGAGTCACTCCATTCAACAGTTTGTTATTTAGATTCCACATGAGTGCAATCTTGTGATATGTGTCTTTCTCTGATTGACTTATTTCACTTACCATGATACTCTCCAGGTCCTTTCATGCTGACTCAAAGGGTAAGAGATTCTTCCTTTTTACTGCTATATAGTATTCCATGGTATAAATGTACCACAGCTTTTTTATCCACTCATCTACTGATGGGCACTTGGGCTGTTTCCAGATCTTAGCTATTGTAAACTGTGCTGCCAAGGACATGGGGGTGCATACATTTTTTTCTGATTGGTGCTTTTGGTTACTTAAGATATATATTCCTATATGTGGAGTCAAATGGCAGTTGCATATTAATTTTTTGAGGAAACTACATACTGTTTTACATAATGGTTGCACCAGTCTGCATTCCCACCAG